ATGCAATAGTTACTGAGCCGGTTAGGTCACTTGGAAATTACTGAAAATGCAGTCAAAATAGTTTGAGTCTTTTTTTTTTTTTTTTTTTTTTTTTTTAATTTTAGGGTATTTTTCAAAATCAAAAGCCGCAACGCTCACATGAAGACTCACAGACAACAAGAAGAGCAGCAAAGGCAGAAGGCTCAAAAAGCTGCTGTAGCAGCCGAAATGGCAGCCACTATCGCAAGAACTACTGGGCCTGTTGGGCATGGTGTGATCCCTCTGGATCACATGGGTTTGGTTAAACACGTTGAAAATGTAGGTGATGTGGAAGATGACGTCGTTCAGGAGTTAGGTGACGTCATGGAAGAGAATGAAGTCGTGGATGCTGACCTCTTGTTAGATGATGAAGATGCAGACCTGCTGCACGATGATGCTGAGCTGTAAATAAGAGTTGTTCCATAGACAGCTACTAAACACAACCTGAATGCATCAATCAGGAAACTTGGACTGCTTGTTATTCCCCACTGATTGTAAACTACCTGTTCAAAATGATAATTCTTTTATCCAGGTCTAGAAAAGAAATCTGCTTTTTTTTTTTTTTTCTTTTTTATTAATTTGTGTTTTGGGGCAAAATAAATAATTGGTACAAATATTCTTACAAAGTGTTTTTATCTGGGCTCGTTTTGCTGAGATCTTCCAAGGCCATTGTTTAGAGGAGTTTGTGGTTCTGCTGTCATTTCCCTCCAGCCTTGCACAGTAGGGTCTTTAGTCTTTAAATCTTCCAAGTTTCATTTTACCTCATTTACAAGAATTATATTCACACCTTCCTGATGGATTTTTTTGGTTTATTTTTTTTGGCCTGCTCTGGATCACTTCCAGCATCTTATGGAGACTAAATGTCATCTCTGTTAAGGAGGTGATTACATTCCTTTTCTTTGTGCTGTCATTTTAAGAGAGGTGAAAGAAAAAAATAATTTAAATGCCAAGTAATTACAGGAGTGATTGTATCATCCGTAACATCACGGTACCTTTTCAGTTCTGTCTTGCCTTAATGCACGTGTGAGGCAGTTGGTAAAGGTATTGGTTGAACCATTCCCTTCAGAGCTTCCGTTTTTAGCAGGATATTGATCCTCTGATTCTAACATGACCTAATTCAAGGAATGAAGAAAGAAGATGATTGTGCCGTTGCTCCCTTCAGCTGAAGGGAACACTGAATCAGGAACACTGCCTTGTTAATCTGATTGCACTGGAAATATATTTTGCTGTGACAATAAATCCTACTGTTGAATAGCCATCTCAGTAGATTGAGGAGGATGTATTCTCCAGCAGTTTAGGAGCTGCTTCTCCCACCAGGCAAATACAGGGAGATGTTCCTGCCCAAGGGGCAGGCTGGGGGGAGATGTGCCTTCAGCAGCACGTGTTGCCGTTTCTGTGCCATGTTTGGTCCTCCTTTTCTTCGTGTGTTAAATTCAAATTTTGTTCATTTAGTAAAACATGCACCAAAGGTGAGAAGATGCTACTGTTTAATTACTCTTTCTTCCCCCTTAGGCTCAGATTTACATGCTGGGTTTCTAACTCCACTTATGTAAGCTTGGATCTGGTTCTCTGTGTAAGCTGACTCTCAAAAGAAATGGACTTAAATCACAGAAGGAATTGCAGTTAGGTTATATGGACCATCAGTTACAAAATATGAGAGTACAGATTTTGCCACAGGTAATGGCACTGATTTTCTTGTGAATATTGTGCAGTAGAAGAGCATTGCTGATTTTATAAAGTGTTTTGTAAGACTGATTTCAGATCTTCCAATTTCATTTTTTTTTTAAACAGCATGGTATTTTTTTCCCTTGCATTCCTGACATCTTAACCAGAATCTGAGGGATTGGATCTTATTTTCTACTGCCTGTCCTTCTTGTGTAACTATGCAAAATGAGGGTAAACCGCAGCGCTTTGGTTTAGGAGTGTGGGACCACAGGTTCAAAACCAGTGGCACCAGGGGCAGAGAGTCTCTGTCAGAGCCAAACACGGGAAGCCAAATGACCCGATGTTTCTGCTTCAGGTCAAATGTTCTGATATTTAAGCCCTTCGATAGTTGCAGCCCTTCAGGAGCATGGAAATCACTTCCCCATTTCAGGTTAGCGAGGTTCCTGTGTGCGTGAGATGTTTCGCTATTTTGGGGTTGTTTCCCATTTGTGTTGTTTGTTTGCTTGTTCTGAGGTGGGTTTTTTGGCTGCTTGGCCCTGGAATAGCCGTCCCCCGCTCCAGAAGGGATGCGGATGCTGCTGCCCGGCTTTGCCCCTGCGAGCCCTCGGGGGGCAGCTGGGTGGGTGCAGAGACGGCGTGCGCAGCGTGGGGGTTCCTAGGGGCCTGCGGTAGGAGCTTTGCTCTCTCTCTTCCAAACTGGGTCCGTTTTGGACCTTTCTGAGAAGGTCTTGTACACAGGAGGAAAAAAAAAAAGTTTTCAGACTGTCCTGTTAATGGTAGGAAGAAAATTGCGTGTTAAGTGAAATATTAATTGAAAACAGGGAGAGTTCAGTGTGGAGAACAGAGCGAAATGCTGCAGAAACTTGTGAGCTGGACTCGGAAGAGCAGCTCCCAGTTTCTCTGGCACAGGTTGTTGTATGTGCCAAACTATATACAATATCTGCCTGGATCTCTAATTAGGTGCTGGTTTACTGTGTGGCCAAGATAATAGAAAAAAAAAATAACCAAAGAAATTTATTCCTAAAGGAGAAAATGCACATTTCTTAGGCAGTTCATGGTTATAGTTTAGGCCTCAACCATTGCCTTTGTGTTGTTAAATGTTGCACTGGCTGGTGTCAAGCAGATGCTGTTCTACCTACTTGTACGTAGTCGGGCCTAGTTTTATTTCAGAAAGTTGTTTTCTTGCTAACGGTTGGTGACACAAAACTGTTCACTCTTGAACTTGGTCCTCTTTGATAAAAAGAACTGTACATAAGAAAACATATTTTATGAGAAAAAAAAAGTCTTATTTTCAGTATTTAACTGTTATTTTATTAGAAGAAGGTTGTAAATATTTTAGGTGCTTCAGTGTAAAAAAAAATAAAAAGAAAAAAAACGAAAAAAAAGCAGCCTGTAACTTCGGGTGGCGGAGAAAGCGATGAAATAAAAGCGATGCCTTTGACGAGACGTGTGCGCCCCGCTGCTTTCGCCTTCCCGCCGCCGCCCTGGCCCCGCCCCGCCGCCGCCCTGGCCCCGCCCCGCCGCCGCCCTGGCCCCGCCCCCTCTGGAGGCCCCGCCCTCCGGGGCCGGCGCCTGCGCGCTGCGGCGCCCGTGGGGCGGTCTCGGTGGGGGCGCGCGTGTTTCGGCGCGCCGGAAGTGGGCGGCCGCGGCGGCGCAAGATGGCGGCCGCGGCGCGGCTGTGGCGGCCCCTGTGGCAGGTGAGCGCGGCGGCGGCGGCCCGCGCGTGTCCTCGGGCGTCCTGCCGGGCCGAGCGCGGGGAGCAGAGCCGCGGCCGGAGGCTGCTCTCCCTCCCTCCCTCCCTCCCTCCCGGCGCCTCTGCCGTGCGCCCTGGAGAGCTCCTGCGATGACGGAGCTTGTGCGGTCAATGGCGAGAGCGGCGGAGCTGCCTCAGGAGCGCCGAGGCTCGGTCCCGCGTGTCCGTCCGCAGCCAGCTCAGGTTTCCCTGGACAAGCTCCCTGCGGGCGGCGCCAGCCCGTCCTGCAGGGCCCGACCTGCGCCTCGGCAGCGCTCAGTTGTGCCTTCCCTTTTTGTTTGTACACTTGTATATAGGATGTTCTTTCGGTAGCTTTTCCAGCAGCAAGCCCTTGCCGGTCTTGTCAGAGCAGGCGTTGCCACGTGCAGCAGTGGCAGCCGGCGCCGCGCGCAGCCTCCTGTGCCGCTGCTAGGCCTGCTCGGGGCTGCTGTTGGGCGGGTGTCTCGCAGGGGCAGCTCTGCTCTGCTGGGCCCGTAGCGTGTCCAGGCTTAAAATGGGCTTCTGGGTTGCTCTGTTCCTTGTTTTCTGTAGAGCGGACTTTTTAGTCTGGCCGACAAACAGCTAGGAATGTGTGCTGCCCTGGTGTGCATCAAAGTAATTTTAGTAATTCTGTATTAACTGGCTAGTTTCCAATTTGGGGGAAAAAAAAATCAGGTTGACAATTTTTTTTATACAGGGGTCAGCTTTTCCTGTCCGTTATGCAAGCAGAATCGTGGGAAGACAGCGTTGCCTCCTGTAAGTATAAAAGTTTGTTTTCCTCCTTGTTTTCATTTCTCCTCTCACATTCCCTAAAAAGTCCAACTTCAGGGCTGATTTTGTACCTTTCTACTTGTCTAGAAACAGTGACTTGGTGGGCGTTCGGCTGGCTGCAACCCAAGCTGATATTCAGGAGCCTAAGACTAATCCTTTGGTAAGTGTTTCATAGGACTGTGTTTTTCATATAGGTTTTAATAATAAAAAGGGTGTACAGAAAATAATAGGTTTGCTCTATTTTAGCCTTTTGAAGTTTTGTCATAGCTTGCAGTAGAGAAAGGAGCAGTTTTGGTCATTCGTAACTGAGGTGTTTTCCCCAGCAAGATTCCTGTAGCTCGTAGTTTGCCACGAGAAGGCCAGTCTGGGAATGCACAACTGCTTTTGCCTTGGACTCTGTCTCTCACACAGTAACTAGCCCGCGTGACTGAAACTGTGTGAAATACCAGCTTTTTGGCCACGCCGAGTGCTTGGAGCAACCTCACCAACCCAGGGCCTTGGTGCGGGGAAAAGCCCATGAAGGTTTGGGGTGGGCAGAGCCGAGTGCCTCAGTTTTCACCTGTCCCAGGGAGCGCCTGTTAAATCTGTGTCCAGCCCATGTGAGCAAGCCCAGTCCCACAGGCACCTGCTGAGTCTGGCTCGGCCGTTTCTGGGCACCTTTTCCAGGCTGTCTAGGGCAGCACTGACCCCAGACCATCCGAAATCAAAGCTCTGACTACAAGACTTAGGTTTCCCCTGGGCAAACGAGAAGGATACGTGCGTCTAAGGAAACCCGCTATGTTCAGGTAGCCTCACAGCTGCCTTAGGAAATTGCTTTCTTAAGCAGGTGGTAACGTTTCTTTTGTCCCCAAACCCAGGTATCTATTTCAGATGAGCCAGAAACGCTGTACAAGAGATTATCCCTTTTAGTGAAGGGTCACGATCGGGCGGTGCTGGACAGCTACGAGTTCTTTGCAGTGCTTGCAGCCAAGGAACTCGGCATCTCTGTTGAAAAAGTGTAAGTGGTCGATCTCTGGAGCAATGTGGCAGCAGCTGCTTTTTACATGATCTGCTCTAATTCTAATTCCGTGTTTACAATTACATCTTTTTTTCTTTCTCTAGAAACAGTATAGGTGCTATCTGACAGCATTTCTGCTCAGGTTAGAAATGTAACACTTACTAGATGACAGTGGGGTGATCAGAAGGCAGCAACAGTTGCACACTCAGTACTGTCACAACAAAACTTCCTTTTAACTTTGCTTAAGGGTATTTATTGATAAATGTCTAATTAGAGTTGACAGGGTTTGGTTTCTCTGACCTAATGCTAGTTAATACCAGAGTATTAACCGTGCACTTACGGGTTAATACGGAGCTGTACCAGTGCCTAATACTGTCTTTGTTGTATTCTCAATGTCAAAAAGGAACCAACCTCTTAGCATAATCTTTCAGATAACTTATACTTTTATCCATTCTATAGAATACAAAATTTTCTTTTTGTCCTTTTTTAGGCACAGACCTCCTAAAACGATAGAACGATTCACACTTCTAAAATCCGTACACATTTTCAAGAAGCACAGAGTTCAATATGAAATGAGAACCCATTACCTCTGTTTAGAGGTAAGGGGGGTGTGTGTGTGTGTGTGTGTGTGTGGAGGGGGAAGCATGCTGTGACTCAGGCATTCATATATGAAGAGCTGAATAGTTCTGGAGTGAACACACACTTTCTGTTATTACTTCACTGAGTTAGGGATAAGAGTGCTGAGGACAATAGGAAAGAGCTGGCCTAAGTCCATGAAATAACCTGAACAGTCAGAATGACTTGTGTCTCAGATATTTTTAGACCAAAAGGCTGATTTTGACCTCTGCTTGTGGTCAGAGGGGGTGGTTAAGAAGTAGAGAGCAGACTTTAAAGTTATTATTGTGTATTTTGTGCTTTTGGTATCAGTGGGATAGGAGCTCTCCCAGGAGGAAGATGCAGCTAAATCATTGTCGTTAGCAGTCACTGAGGGTTCTGTCTTCCAGTTGTGTTGTCTGACACTTCTGAACATACTTCAGCCACGTGCAACATGTTGTGACAAATTAAAAAGTGCATGGAGGAAATGCAAGGAAGGAACCATGTACAAACCATTGGCTCCCTGGCTGAACACAGAAAACCCTTCTATGTGGCTTAGCACACAGCTGTTTACTGCAGCTGTGTCTACTGACCACGGTGTTGCGGCCTGTGTGTCTCTTCCCATCTTTTTGCACAGTGTTCAGCACAACAGGACTTTGCCTTAGGCCCCTGGGCGTCACTGCAGTCCATGTAGCAGCTCGCAGGCCCTAAGTGGGCTAATCCAGACCTGCAGCACTTGTCATCCACAACAACTAGGAGGTCAAGAACACAGATCAGTTGGAGTTGTAGCATTTAAAATAAGCTCTTATTTGGGGAGTATACAGTGGCTGCTAATTCTTGTACAACCTGTAATTAATTTGACCTGCAGCTCTTTGTTATCCACCACATCCATGGTAGCCAACACCTGTGATCACAGACAGCCTGTACAATTCTGTGGGCTTGGAGTGAGAGTGTCTTGGTGAGGTGTTAAGGAAGTTGCTGTCCTGTGAGCTGTTTGATCCTGTGGCAAGAATTAGAGAAGCTAGAGCAAAGTCTTCTTCTTTCCTATTTTTATTTGGCTTGAAGTGTTAACGATAGTGCATTATTAAAAAACACTGTTTCGTTTTAGTTGAAACACGTAACAGGCAGCACTGCTGCCGTGTACTTGGAGTACGTTCAACGAAACCTACCCGAAGGGGTTGCCATGGAGGTAAAAAAGGTAAGTTTCCATCCTGCATTATCACCTCTTGGGAGACCAGTAACTGAGAGTGCTTGCATCCAGATTTGGAGTGTTGGGAAAGTCAGGAATGTTTGTGGGGTTGTCAGGACCATTTTCCAGATATTAGATAAAGAGACTGTATTGCTCAAAAGTACCACTAGGTGGCATTTTTAATCAGAAATACCTCAAAACAGAAAGAATAAACCCCAATAGATAGATGTTAAATGGTTGGTATAATAGATATCTATCTTGCTTTACTTTTAGACCAGGATTGAGGCAATTCCTGAGCACATAAAGAAGCCAGTTTGGGATACGCTGCCTCAAGTAGAAGAAACTGACGTCAAGTCATGAACTCAGCAGGTACTTGACTCCATTAGTGCTGAAATTACTTGCTTCTATCAGTCTAATTTACTGAGATATGCTACTATTAAATAAACTTAAATTTTATAGAGTAATCTCATAAATTCATGCTTTACCCACTTCTGGATCATAGCTGCAGCACATATAGACCGAACAGTTAGGAAGTCACGTCCAACAGCACTGTGTATCAAGAACTTTGTGATACGCTTATAAAATGTTTAAAACTTTCTCACAGACACACACTTGAATTCCAAAATATCCTGCAAAATTCAACTCATATGGATGAAATATGTTTAGTGTTATGGATGCCAGTCTGTTAGACACTGTGTGCTGTAGCTCCCCTGAGATAACTGAACCCCAGGGATGCACAGAGCTCACACATTAACTTGCAGCAAGTCAGCAAACAGAATCTGTGAGAGCACTGAGGTTAAACTTGGGCTTGTGTAGCCTCCTGCAGTTCCAGCAGCCTCCTTTCCAGTCTTAGTAACTGCTTACCAGCAGAATAATGCAGGAACTGCAGTATAAAGCTGAGACTTTAACACGGTTAAATCCCTATTTTAATGATCTGCCTGCAGAACAGTGGCAGAGCAAATGGTTGTATAAAGTGTCATTGTGGAGAGGACAACGGAACAAGAAATGTCTTATACTACAGGGAAAGGCAGAACCTTCTTCTAAAATTGCCAGGATTGATTATTCTATACACCCCTTCTAGCTAGACATTAATTAAGCTCAGAGAGGAAGAATGTGTACAGTAGCGAGAGAGGGCTCAGTTAATCTGGAGCTTAGTTCACAGTGAATCCAAGGCAGTGCTGCTGAGAGCAGAGCCAGCACGGGGTTCACCTTCAGAACGGATGAGTCGTTTCCACCAGTGCCAGCTTAGCAGGAAGGACACGAGTGCAGGAATCTGCCCCAGACCCTTAATACTGGCCGGTTAGAAGGAAATGGCCTTGACAGGGGTTAAAGGAACTTAAAGAAGGAATACACAACTCGGAAGGAATACACAGCTCGGGCACAGGACCAGACAGCAAAAACGGGCTGGGCTGAATGGTACTTAGCAAGAGCCCTCAAGGGCCTCTCAGCAGTCACGGAGGAAAAGAAAGCAGTGTGGCTGCAGGACAAGGTGGTCTCTCGTAGTGGGCAATAGCTGAAAGACGAGCAACTGAGCTTCTGTTTTGAAAAGCAGCTGCATTTTCTAGCCCAAAGCTACTTTAAAAGGGGTATTTCAGTATAGTGATTGTAGCTTGGAGCACTCGAGATAGAAAGGGAGCTTTCCGAGCCTCTTCACAGCATGCCAAGGAAAGGGAGGTTTAATCAGACCTCCCTTGGGAAGATGCACTAGCGAGTCATCACTTCAAAGCACTTGCTTCCAAGCTGTTCCTCCTCTCCCATATTCCCAGTATTCAATCATCCTAGTACTTAGTAAAGTCACATCAGGCATTATGTAACATTTAAGGAAGAAATCAGTGAGCTGACCTGGTTAAAGCTGGTGCCTCAAAGGGGATGGCCTCTTTCAACTGCAGCATAGCTAATCTTACTATAGACAACAGATGGATTCAGGCGTCTTATCAGCTATTATACCTTAGATCTTTCTAAAATGCTTTTATTTTTTTGAAAAATTTGGAAGTTTTCTGCTGTCTTACTCCCCATATTCTGTATTTTTTCAACCTCTAAATGAGTTTAGTATTACTTTAAGTTTATTTTAATGCTTTTACATAGATAATACATCATAGTAACCACAGTAAAAGGAATTAAGGATGACAGCAAACACCTTTTGCTTCTTGAGCTCAAAAGAACTTGTGGCTTTGTTTTCAGCCCTATTACTCAGTTACCCAATATCACATATTCCAGAAACTGAAAATATAGGTCACAGTGCCAAAAATGAATAAAGCTGCTTCTAAGCTTAGTTTCTACCATCAAAATAAGAATGTCAGGATTAATATGGCTATTTGAGAAGAGATGCTGAAGACAAAAGCACCCAGCAGTTCTATACTTGGCTAAATCTGTTTTGCTTAAAAATAAACAAGTTGTTTGCATATGTATGAAGGATATTTGTCTGAATGGTTCTGTAGTCCAGGTATTCCAAGTCATTATAAGATGACAAGAAACAGAACAGTTATGCGGGGCAGTATTTAAGGAATAGTCTCTTCAACAGCATCTACTACCTGGTGATCCAGGCCATTCCAGTCCTGTCCCAGTGATGAAGAGGATGGTGTCCCTAGTCCATTTGAAGGCTCTGTAAAAGTATAAAAATGTAATTGTTCCCCACTGTCCCTAAGAAAATAACTTTAAAATAAGAAAAGTCACAGCACAGTATTACAGTTTGGCTTTATCTTTGGTTTTAGCAATCTTATGATAGCAGTTAGAAATACCACCGTGGAATCTGAAATGTTTATGTAAAGCATTTCCATTTATTTATTTATTTGAAAGAAGAGTAGTGTTTACTGCAACTTCTTGGGTTTCAAACAGTGTTTTTTTAAAGACCCACCGTCACTTTTGGGGGTGGAAAACGACTTCTTGGCTCTCCTCCCATTCCTCAGTGGAGACGTGATCTACCTCTTAAACCCAGTGGTCCTGGTGGTCATCGCAGTCGTCATTCTGTACTATTTTATTTTAACACGTATTTTCTGTGGGTCTTTTTCTAAGATGAAGTTTAAATCCCCAATTGTTACATGAACATTTTTATGTACGTTTTATCAGATTATCAGTGATGCTTTATTTTTGGTTGATATTCACCAATTTGTAGTTAACCTGAAAAGATCTTACTGTTTTGTAGTGTAAGCCTGTATATGAACCACTTTTGTTGTCCATAAATGGTAATAACCAGTAGTCATCAAGTGTTATTGAAAAACTTGTAAAATGAATTCATTATGGGTCACTGTCTTGCTGCCAAAATATTGTATTACACACAGTCTTGCAATCATATACAAAAATGCAGGCAGCTTAGTAGTTTAATAATATCTTTCTGAGGAAGTACAGGACCAACAGAGCCAAATTTCCAATGACTTTGCAATTCATACACCAGGAAAAGGGTAAACAGTTTCACATAACTTAGGCCTTTTTAAAATAGAAGGGCATGATGAGACAGCATAAAATGCAGTCCATAGCCCCTGCTTACGGGGTCCAGTAGTAATCAGACTGAGAATGAGGAACACCAACTATTGCTGCAAAGGGAATAGTTGGGATTGAGAGACGAGTGCAGGGCTGGGGCAGACTGGGAATGGCCGTTCTTGCAGTCTGCCCTCTGCTCTGGCACGGACCGTTGCTGTGCTGTGACACGGCTCACATATTGCCTTCATTTTGCAGAGAAAATGTGTGGTCTGGAAATAGCAGCAGGCCCTGTGTGGGTTTGCTGGGAGGAGATGATCCACGATGTCTTCACGGTGCGGCCCTATTTCCGAGCCAACTCTGTGCGTCTGCAGGGGAAGATTCTTTCAGCCGGAGCGGTGTCCCTGGCCGCTGCTTCCAGTCGCTCTCGCAAAGATTGGGAGATGCCCCCTGAAAATATGAAAATATTTTGAAAATATTATGAAAATATTTCCTCAAATGAGGAAGAAAAATGTGTTCTGCCACAATCACATGGCTGCCAATAACTAGGTCAGCAGAAGAGATTAGAGGTGATTCCAGCATTTCCCTGTATTAATGCCTGAATCAAACATATCTGCGATACAAGTCCCTTGTGAGTAGGAGATTGAAACAGGAGAATTGCTGGTTATCTGTTATTCTCTCAACTAAAATCATCAATATAAATTACATTGTTTAATTTGTTCGTAAGTGCAATGTAAGTTTTTGATTTATTCAGCTTAAAATTTGTAATTCCTAGGAGCAATTGCATATCACTTAGAGCAAAGTTATGGCAAGGGCTGTGGAGAGAGACCCCCCCCACCAAGGGCTTGTTCAGCCTGTGAAGTGAAGCCGGGGCCTGTCTGTGCGCACACAGTTCTGCAGTTGTCTGACGGGGAAGGGAACCTCTGACTGCAGAGGTTAATCCGTTCTCAGCTACTGCCTACAGATCTTCCACCCCACGCGGGGCTAAGGTCAGTTTTGTCACCTGTGCATGGTCAATGAGAAGCCGAGATGCTAATCTGCTGGGAAGCACCTCTTGGAGGGCACGGGGCTTTAAGCAGTGTGGAAACAGTTTAATCTTAAGGAATAAACCCTACCCCAGCATGGTGCGGCTCACGAGCTGTGGGGACAAGGAGGGAGGAAGGAGTTGCAGCGATCCCAGGACTATAACTATAACCAGGCTGAAACATCCTTCTTCAGGATACATTAAAACAAGTAATAGCAGCTACTAAAGTACAGCTCCAAATCTTGCAGTCAGAAAAGCTTCCGATGTTTTGTTAAGGAAGTATGAATAAATGAGCGCACAAGCAAGTGCTGTGGTTCCGAGCATCACACAAGTGGAAGATGCACTCGACAAACTGAGGTCTGTTCTGCATGTTCTGCAGGAAGAGGAGGAGGGTCAGCTGAATGCAGTATCCTCATTTGCCATAAACCCCGTTCATATACTACCCCCTAACGATTAAAGCCGTTTCTGCCAAGTCAAATAGAAACGAGTACAGGATTTCTAGAAAGAAATGCACGTTGATAAACACAAATTCGTTATTATAAACACGAATCACGAATAATCACGAATTTGTGTTTTCTTTTAAAACAAAGAAATAGCTTTATTTGAAACATTAGAAAACGGTTTCTGGGGATCTTTGTGCGCGCTGAACGCTGAGGCGCCTCCTCACCGCGCTGGGGCGGCGCGCGGGCGTTAAACCGTCCCGCCCCGCGAGAGGCCGTTGGGGGGCGGCCGTTGGGGGGCGGCCGTTGGGGGGCGGCCGTTGGGGGGCGGCCGTTGGGGGGCGGCCGTTGGGGGGCG